GCTCAGAGGACGCTTCCCTGACGCATCAGTTGGTTTTGTCCTTGGGGCAACCGTCCTCTGAGCAGCGCTCCTACGATCACAATTTTCCAGACGAGATGCCCGAGGCACGGAGAGGGTGATGTGCTGGCCCAGGGCTACACAGCGGATGGGTTTCAGGGCCAGGATACCATCTCCTCCCAGTGTCTGGAGCCCCAGGCCCTGGATTCGAATTCCTGTTGGTCCCTCTGAGGTCAGGTGCCTCCCATCTGTGTCATCCAAAAAGCAGGGATATAACCACAGTTCCTACCACTCAGGAGTTTCTGATTTTCTATGGACTGAATTATACAGTGAAGCCTCCAAGAAGTGTGCCCGGCCCACGAGGGCTGCCACCAGGCTGGCGTCCGAGACGGGGCTGGCAAAGTGTCCAGAGGGGCCTGGAGACACCCGTCCGCTCCGCAGTCTCAGCAGAAAACAGGCGCCACGGCGGACTGTCTGCTTTAAGACGTGCGGCTGGTCCAGGCCTGGCTCTTTCCCCAGGGCAGGGGGTTGGAGGGACCTGGCGTTTGGGGTGTGGGTGTTGACCTCCGGGTTGGAGATGTGCCCCAGGTGGAGAGTGGAAGTCAAGTCTTCCCCCACTGCAGCCCCTCCAGGGCACCGGGCTATAGGGGAGGGAGGTCTGGGTCAGGCTGCCTGGCCACTCCAGCCGGACAGTCTGCGCATCCAGTCAGACCCCGCTGTTCTCACCTCCTCGCCCTGGAGGGGAGGAAGCCAACCCCACAGAGTCCCACATGGGAAGGGCTGTGAAGCTGCCCCCTTTTTCTGCCCCTAAGCTGTACCTGTCCACCAGGACAGAGCCTCTGCCCTGCAGCCTGCGTGGGCTGAGGGAGGTGGGAGTGTCGGGTCCGGAGAAGGCTGCTGGGACGGCTCAGCCCCCAGGTCCTGCAGCTACAGCAGAGTGACCCCAACGGCCCTGCAGGTCACCTGCGTTGGGACCTCGGCCATGCCCAGAAACTGGAAAGGAAGGGACAGGCGTGGGGGAGGAGTGCCAGCCCAGGGCAGGCAATGCTGGATCCAGTGTCCCCTGCCTTGGTCACCTTGGCCAGGAACAGCTGGGCTGGGCTAGGCCAGGGTCAGGATCAGGGTCAGGGTCAGGCAGCCCAGGGTCCTGAGGGTCGTGGGGGCCGCTTCTCCATCATGTCATGTGTCCGAGGAGAAAGCTGTGAGGAACATGCTGCCCCCGGGGGTCCCAGGACACCACCCACCCCAAGAGGAAAGCGCTGGACTCGCACCTCCCACCCATAGGCTCCTTGCCCACCCGTGGGGCCCTGTTCTTGGCCGGATCCGGGCTCGTGGGCGTTTCATCCTCACCTGGGTCAGTCCCCCATACAAACAGGAGCTATCTGATGCCCGCTTCTGGTCCCAAATCAGAGCTGCCAGAGTGAGTCAGCGGCCTGGCCTGCATCCCATCCCCACGTCCCTCCACCGTCCTCCTGTTGCCATGGCAACGCTTGGGCGGTCCTGTCAGCGCTGGACCCCAGCCCTCTGTCCAAACAGGCACTGCCTTGCTCCCCAGTAAACCTGCTAGTTTAGCAGGTCTGGGTGGGGGGCTGGCAGCAGCCCAGGTGCAGGCTGTGCGGTCCCCCGGGAACCCGGGGGAACAAAGGCTTCTGGGGCCACCGCCCTGGGCGAGCCACATCCCCACGTGTGGCTCCCGCTTCCCACAGACAGCACCCTACTGTGAACCCCTGGACATGAACCCTCTTCCTGCAGGGGTTTTCATGGACCCCCTTTTCAGGTGAGGAAACTGAGGGTGGCCAAGGCTCACCCCAGCCGTGCCACTTCCCCTGTGCTGCCCTCACTAAGCGTGAAGGCCCCTGAGAGCAGGGGGGTGGAATCACTGCCCCACTGCTTTAAGGGACCCCTTCCAGCCCCCCACCCCTCCACAGCCCCCACTGGGCTCGGGGAGGTCACAGGGAAGAAGGCCCCTGGTTTTCAAGGCTGGGTCCCTGGTCCCACACCTGCCCCGACTCCAGACCCCCTCTCCATGGGTCCCTCTTATGGGGTTGCCCCACCCTGGGAAGGGATGCTAACCCCGGTGCAGGGCGTGCCTGGTGACTCAGATGGGTCGGGGCGAGGTGTGGACTCAGGCCTGTGCCCTACGCCGGGAGCATGGACACTGGTTGACCTGTTACCTCCCTGCCTTCCTGGGGTCGTGAGGGGGGGAGACCCGTGTCACTCATGCTTCCCTCAGCTTGGGTCTGCAGACCCTTGAGCCTCCCCACCAAGGCACTGGTTCCCAATGTCCAATATCCTAACCACAAAGCCCACACAGCCCTTCGGAGCCAGACTGGTCCCCGCGGCCTGCCCCTAGGGGCCTGCCCTGCTCAGCACCAGTGACGCGCTGTCAAGCTCTAGAGCCAGGCAGCTGCGCGGGGGAGGGGGAGGATGTGATACACCAGCCTGCAGGGGGGTGGGGGGCAGGGGGCACCGAGGTGGCGCCAGCTCCCTTCAACCGGCATCCACGCCCCCTGCTATGTGATCACCCGCCCACCCACCCACTCACTCACTCATTCATTCACTCACTCACTCATTCATTCATTCACTCGTTCATTCACTCATTCACTCACTCGTTCATTCACTCATTCACTCACTCGTTCATTCACTCATTCATTCACTCACTCGCTCATTCATTCACTCACTCGTTCATTCACTCACTCACTCATTCATTCACTCGTTCATTCACTCACTCACTCATTCACTCACTCGTTCATTCACTCACTCGTTCATTCACTCGTTCATTCACGGACTCATTCATTCATTCATTCATTCACTCATTCACTCACTCACTTGTTCACTCACTCACTCGTTCGCTCACTCACTCGTTCACTCACTCACTCACTCATTCACTCACTCTCTCACTCATTCATTCACTCACTCGCTCATTCATTCATTCACTCGTTCATTCATTCATTCACTCGTTCATTCATTCATTCACTTGTTCATTCAGTCATTCACTCACTCATTTATTACTCACTCATTCATTCACTCACTCGCTCATTCGTTCACTCACTCGTTCACTCACTCGTTCATTCAGTGACTCACTCATTCATTCATTCAGTCACTCATTCATTCACTCACTCGCTCATTCATTCACTCATTCGTTCATTCACTCACTCACTCATTCATTCACTCGTTCATTCACTCACTCACTCATTCACTCACTCATTCATTCATTCACTCGTTCATTCACTCATTCACTCACTCGTTCATTCACTCATTCACTCACTCGTTCATTCAGTCATTCATTCACTCACTCGCTCATTCATTCACTCACGCGTTCATTCACTCACTCATTCATTCATTCACTCGTTCATTCACTCACTCGTTCATTCACTCACTCGTTCATTCACTCGTTCATTCACGGACTCATTCATTCATTCATTCATTTACTCATTCACTCACTCACTTGTTCACTCACTCACTCGTTCGCTCACTCACTCACTCGTTCGCTCACTCACTCGTTCACTCACTCACTCACTCATTCACTCACTCACTCATTCACTCTCTCACTCATTCACTCACTCGCTCATTCATTCATTCACTCGTTCATTCATTCATTCACTTGTTCATTCAGTCATTCACTCACTCGTTTATTACTCACTCATTCATTCACTCACTCGCTCATTCGTTCACTCACTCGTTCACTCACTCGTTCATTCAGTGACTCACTCATTCATTCATTCACTCATTCAATCACTCGTTCATGCACACACTCGTTCATTCATTCACTCGTTCACTCATTCACTCGTTCATTCACTCACTCATTCACTCACTCACTCATTCATTCACTCGTTCATTCACTCATTCACTCGTTCATTCACTCATTCACTCGTTCATTCACTCATTCACCCACTCATTCATTCACTCACTCGCTCATTCATTCCTCACTCATTCACTCACTCTTACACACTCACTCGTTCACTCACTCACTCACCCACCATGTCCCTCCCCCACTCTCCTGTTACATGGGAGGCATTCTTTCTATCAGGTACCAGGGCATGAGGAGGGGATGGCTCAGGGGCCAAAAACCAGGTGACCAGCAGGAGCTTGGGACAGGCCCCAAGTGAGGCAGAAGCAAAGCTGAGAGCAGCTCCCGGGAGCCCCCTGGCCCCAGCCCCCGCCCCATCATGGTGGGGACCTTGCTCACCTTGCTGCCACTCTGCCCCAGGTAGAGCCTCCTGGCTGGGCTCACCTGTGGCAGTGGAGCCCCCAGCCTTGGGGGGGGGTGTGCGGACCCCTGGGACGGAAGTCCAGCTGCAGCGCCTGGCTCCCTGATAGGCCCACTGTCTGAGGCTGCGTGTCCATCACACCAGGGCGCTTTCTCAACCAGAGCCCATCAGGGCCAAGACCACTGGGCCAGTTTCTGGGCTCGTTCAGTCGGCATCTCTCCAGTGCAGTGAACTCAGCCATCCCTGCCCCCAAGACCACAGGCCCACTTGTGACTGGAGCTGGCCTGGGGTCACCCACCCAGCTGGAGCACAGCCAGGCTCCCAGGCAGTGCTGGTCTGGGGGCTGCACTGTGGGGCGGGGTCCTGTCACTGGGGGTGCCGTGCCCTGAGCCCTTCTCCAGTGAGGGTGGGGCTGGCCACAGCAGCCCCGGCAGCAGGGAAGATGCCAGTGGCCACTCCAGATGCCAGGAACTCAGGGGTCCGGCGGCAAGGGAGAGTGCCCGGGGAAGGTCCAGGGGCAGGGGCGTGGTGGAGGATGCCTGAGGCCAGGACTGGGGGACCCTCAGGGACCACGTCCCACCTGGCAGACACACCCATCCCTGCCTGTCTTCAGCTGCCGGCCAGCCCGTAGCCAGTGCCCACTGTTTATCTGGGTGAGGGGAACCACAGGCCCTGCCCCACCCTCCCACGTGAGGCCCGTGGGGCTGGAGCCAGCTCTGGGACTACAAAAGGCTCCTGCAGACGCAGAGCCCTCCTAAGAGGCCGCCCTGGGGACTTCTCCCCCCACACACCATGGGTGTCAGCCGGAGGAAGCTGGCCCTGCTCTGGGCCCTGGGCCTCACTCTGGCCTGTGCCCAGCACACAGGTAAGGTTCGTGCTGGCTTTCCCAGGCTGGCCCTGACCATGGCCCCTGTGCCCCCCCCAAATCCCCAAATCCAGCAGGCAGCTCTGAGGCCTTGTCCTGGGCTCTGGTCAAGCTGAGTGCATTCGTGAGCTGCTCTTCCAGCTTGTGGGGCTGGGGAGGGGTTCTTGGGGGCTGTGGGGTCCACGTGGGGGTTAGGGCTGGGAGCAGCCCAGCATCTATGAGCCCCTGGCTGCAGGATCTCATCCACACGTGCGTCTCTGCTGCTCTCTGCCCTCTGCCCCCTGCCAAGCCTGGTCTGAGCAGACTCTTGAACTCCTGGCCCAGCCTGGCAGAGCTGCCCACCTGCCTGGGACACCACCTCCCCCCCCCAACCCCGCACCGTGAATCCCCGGTCCAGCAGCTCGCTTTCCCTGTCTGTTTCTCTGTGGTGGGCTCAGTCCGAGGTGGAGGGTGTGATGAGGGCAGCTCACAGGCCCCACGGTCCTTGGAGGCCCCTTCCCATATGGGCCTGCACCTCCCTCCTCTGCTTCCCAGGGGATAGCAGGGCCCTGGATGGGTGAGGGGGGGCTCCCAGGCTCCTGGAATGGCAGCTTGGGGAACATGCCGTGTTACCCAAGGTCCCCACTGCCCCAGGCGGCCCACACATCCCGGTGCCCAGTCTCCCGCTGCCGCCAGACAGTCTCAGAACTGGGAAGCTCTCCCTTGAGTACTCAGGGCAAGGCTGCCCCACTGGATGTTCCCTGGACACATGGCAAGGATGAGTCCAGGTTGTCCCAGGTGATCTGAGAAATGGGGCCAGCACACCAGTGAGTGAGGCAGTGCTCCCTGGGTCAGCCCCCATCCAGAGGAGGGCTGGCCTCCCCTTCTGGGCGGGGGGCTGGGCACCCCCCTGCCATGCCAGCTCTGTGCGGGATCATGGCAAGCCTGTGTCTGGTGACATTCTGCACCAACACTGCCCGTCCCTGGGCCCTGCCTACCTGACCTCCACGGTGCTGGGCCCCGACCTGTGCAGTGGCCCGAGCACCCCATTTTGGGTGCAGCTCTGTCTCCGCTCTTGGTCCCAGATCCCCAACAGGCTCTGAATTTTCCTGCAGAGCTCCGGTTGCTCTGGGCCAGCTGCCGCAGACCCGCGGCTTTACTGTCTGCTCCCTCGGCAGATGCTCCTGGACGGGGGCTGCCTGCCTGTCCCCCTACGTCCCGAGCAGGGGACCAGTGGCTGGGCCCTGGTGGACACTCGGTGGGCATGAATGAACAGTGAACAAAGGAATGGCCCCTGGAGAGACAGCCGGGGTCACCCCGCATGCTCATGGGGCCGGGGACACCCCCACATGCTCATGGGGCCACCTGAAGGGGAGGTCATGGGAGTGGTGGCCCAGCCGTGGGCCCGGGTGACCTCCAAGGCTCGGCAGCCTGGAAGAGATCCTCCCAGTGCCCCCGTCCGCACAGAGAATCCCACCATCTGGACTTTCCGCCCCTCCCTCTGTGCATCCTCTGAGGGGATGTGCCTGTCCTTTGGCCGGCTCAGGCCCAGCGCCCTCTCCTCTTCCCAAAGGCCAGGCCCAGGACAGCACTGCAGAGCTCGGCTATGCGTACCCGGACCTCCCTCCTGCCCTCCAGGGGCCTGGCGGTGAGTGGCCCCCCCCCCCGGCCGGGCCCCCCCCCCCCCCCCCGCCCCAGCAGTCAAAGAGCCCTTGAAGGGCCATGGGTCACCTGCCTTGGGCCCTGCAGGCTGCTTGCCATCCCCATCCGGCGTGGCTGAGACAGGGTGACAGGCTGCCTGGGAGCTCACAGAATGTCCCTTTCTCCCTGGAGTTAACACCTGATACTCCAGCGGTGGCAGGGCAGGTGAGGGTCAGCCCACAGTGCGGCCAGACGCCCCAGAGCAAGGGGAGGCTCGGGGACAGACCCAGCCACCTCAGTTTGCATGTCCCCAAAAGGGGCTCCCAGGGAGGCGCACCTGTGCCTGACGTCAGCACCCAGGGGATTGCCCGTAGCTGCTGATGCGTTCGTTCGTTGTTTTAATCGGGGTATAGTTTTACAATGTTGTGTTAGTTTCTACTGTACAGCAAAGCGAAGTAGAGTTCCCTGTGCTCTCCAGCAGCTTCTCAGTTATTACCTAGTTTATACATAGTAGTGTATATATGTCCATCCCGATCTCCCAATTCATCCCACCCCCCTTTCCCCGCTTGGTGTCCATACGTTTGTTCTCCACGTCTGTGTCTCTATTTCTGCCTTGCAAACTGGTTCATCTGTACCTTTTTCTAGATTCCATGAATATGTGTTAACATACGATATTTGTTTTTCTGTTTCTGACTTACTTCACTCTGCATGACAGTCTCCAGGTATTGATTCAGGCATTTTTGAGATTCCGGGAGCAAGGAAGCCCCAGTGCAAACAGCATTCTGGGCCACGGGGTGTGAGAGCTGGGGCCCCTGGGTGCTCTGCTCTCAGCCCACAGTGGTCCCCGCTGGCCTTGGTGTTCACACCGGCCGGGAGGCCATATACACGGCAGAACCCGGAGCCGGATCTAGAGTCTGGCAGACCCGAGCAGTCGCGGAGCCGCCACAGCCTCTCGTGGGGGCTGAGCTGTGCCTGGGCGGTGGGGGTGAGGGCTGTGCGTCACCCGCCCTGTTTCCACAGGCAACTCCCTCCGCGGGGTGACCATCCACCCGCCTCTGAGGAGCACCCCCCTGGTGCGAGGTGAGACCCCGAGAGGCCAGGCGGGGGGCCGTGTTGGCCGAGCTCTGCCTCGTCACACCTGGGGGGCGGGCCGGGGGACCGCAGCTTCCCAGGTGGATAAGGGCCCAGGTTTCGGGACGTCCGGGTGTCCCAGACTCGGCGCCCTCGGAAAGGCCCTGCTCTGTTTGGCCCACAGCCCTGAACGCGGCGCACCGCGGGCGGGTGTGCAGCACGTGGGGTGACTTCCACTACAAGACCTTCGACGGCGACGTCTTCCGCTTCCCCGGGCTGTGCAACTACGTCTTCTCCGCGCACTGCGGTGCCGCCTACGAGGACTTCAACCTCCAGCTCCGCCGCGGCCCCGGCCCCAACGCCACCGCGCCCAGCAGGGTCACCATGAAGCTTGACGGCATGGTCGTCGAGCTGACCAAGGGCTCCGTCCTGGTCAACAGCCTCCCGTGAGTCTGGGCCCTGGACGGCGAGCATGCTTCTGGGCCGTCGGGGGAGGGAAGTGCAGTTGTCCCAAGAGTGGGTCCCGGAGCGGTGCCCCCCAGGCCCCCATGCTCGGCCCCCTGCCCCACCCAGGGGCTCAGGCTCTCCCTCTGCCCCTGGAAGCGGCCCCTTCCTTGTTCTTCTGATGCCAGAGCTCCAAGCTCTTGTGGGCATGTTGACCCTGTCATACGTGTGACTGAAGGGACCCTCCCTGCCTGAAGTCCAGACCTATGTTGCCCGTCCCCTCGTGCCCTATGGCGCCTCAGCTGGGCCCTCTCTCCGCAGAATTCAGCTGCCCTTCAGCCGCTCCGGAGTCCTCATTGAGCAACGCAGCAGCGGCGTGAAGGTGGCGGCCAGGCTGGGCCTGGTCTTCATGTGGAACCAGGATGACAGCCTCCTGGTGAGGCGGGGGGCCGGGATCGGGGGACCAGGCACATGCCTCCAGCCTGACAGCCTCTCCAGGGAGGGAGGAAGGGGCTCTGGGCGAAGGAGGGTGGGAAAGCCAGACATCTCCGGCCCCGGCAGCAAGGATGGGGCCCAGATGCTAACGGGGCCCCAGGGTCCACACCCCTGATGGAGACCCTGAATGTGGGGGTAGCTTCCTCCAGGACAGAGCCCCTGCTCCGGGTCCCAGCCGCGTGGAGCAAATGGGGAGGGTCCTCTGTGAGAAGGCCCAGCTGCTCCAGCCTGGGGAACCTCGTCTGTCCTTCTGGTCCGGGGCTGTCCCTGGCACGGCTGGAGTCTGATGTGTCCTCTCATTGCAGCTGGAGCTGGACCCCAAGTACGCCAACCAGACCTGCGGGCTCTGCGGAGACTTCAATGGCGTCCCCGTCTTCAACGAGTTCTTCTCCCACAGTAAGCCCCGGGGCGCGAGCTCCCCTCCCTGCCGCCTGCTCCAGCTCTGTGCTCCCTGGAAGCCTGCCTTCCAGGGTGCCAAGTCAGAGGTCTCGGTCTTAACACATGTGCACGCACCCACACGTGCATGCAGACCCACACGCTCAAGGTCCAGCATGCACGCGCACCTACACCACGAGCATGTGCACAGACTCGGGCACGCCCCAGCACACACAGACGCACGGCGCGCGCTCACGTGCACTTGCCCCCACCCCATCCCACCCAGCACACGCTCTCGGTGGGGCAGCCCCCGCTGAGCCCTCCCGTTCTCAGTGCCCGTCACACACCCTCCTCTGAAATCGAAGACCTGCCTCCATCCAGACCTTGTCTCTGCTTCTTGGTCCTTGAGACTTTGCCAGGCAGTGGCCTTTTATGTGACCCACACCCGCTGCAGCCCCGATCCCAGGGCCCCCACTGTCAGGCCCAGGAAGCCCCATGCAGAGCCCATACGTAAGGGACTCCCTTAGGGGAAGCCTGCCTGCGTGCCCAGCAGTGGCCGGCAGGGGCCCAGGTCACTCTCCAGCCCTGGGCCAGCGGAGCGTCAGTTAACGGACCTCAACCCGCTGCCCTGCAGCCCCGAATGCCTGGGAGTTCCTCATTTCATCTCCAGACTCCCCGAAAGTGCTGTGTAGCCGCCGCTTAAACTGGCGGTGTGGAAGGGGAAGGCCGGCGTAGCCCGGTCGCCGCGAGCGAGGGCCGCTGGGAGCCTGCAAAGAGCCCGGTGTTGTGCTCTGTCAGACATCAAGCTGACCGCCACCGAGTTTGGGAATCTGCAGAAGATGGACGGCCCCACGGAGCAGTGTCAGGACCCTGCCCCTGAGCCCCCCGTGAACTGCTTGACCGGTTTTGTAAGTCCCAGAGTGAACGGGGGTGGCGTCCGCCTCCCACGGCCCCGGGGACAAGCCGGGGAGGGGGCTGTGAGCCAGGGGATGTTCCAGAGCCTGGACTGAGTGCCCCGGCTTTGCCCCAGGGCATCTGCGAGGAGATGCTGAGCAGCGAGCCGTTCTTGGACTGCGCCGCCCTCGTGGACGCCAGCAGCTACGTGGAGGCCTGCCGGCAAGATCTCTGCCACTGTGGCCAGGCCAACCTCACCAGCTGCCTCTGTCACACCCTTGCTGAGTACTCCCGCCAGTGCACCCATGCCGGGGGGCTGCCCCTGGACTGGCGGGGCCCCCAGCTCTGCCGTGAGTGCCCTGTGTGACCCCGGCCCTGCCATGCCATCCCTTCTCGGGCCGGAAGCAGGGGCAGGGCGTGACACGTGCCCCATCTCCTCCCTGCAGCCCAGACGTGCCCCCTCAACATGCAGTACCGCGAGTGCGGGTCACCCTGTGTGGACACCTGCTCCAACCTGGAGCACTCCCAGCTCTGCGAGGACCACTGCGTCGCCGGCTGCTTCTGCCCTGAGGGTGAGCCGGAGTCCCACCCCCTCTGGCCCCCCAGAATCACACAGATGCATTGTAGGTGCTCAGGAAGGAAGGCCCCTCTGACGTGGCCCGAGGTGTCCCTGGACCCCTGGGTCTGAGGAACCCTCCAGGGCAGGGCCACTGTGGGCAGAGGGCCTGTCCCCTCCACACACCCACATGGCAGGCACAGTCCGGCACCTGCCACGTGGCCTGCCTGCCTCTGCAGGGACGGTGCTGGATGACGTCGGCCACACTGGCTGCATCCCGGTGCCCCAGTGCTCCTGTGTGTACAATGGGGCCACCTACACTCCAGGGACCGGCTACTCCACAGACTGCACCAACTGGTAGGACCCTGGGCCCCTGCCCTCCCCTTCCCCGGAGATGCCCAGGGACGGCCCCTGCCTTCTGGTCCCCCTAGATGCGCCCGGGCCGGCCCCTCTGGGGGCTTGTCCTCTCCCACGCGGGTCCCCGGGTGGAGGCCAGTGGCTCTCTGGGCAGGCGCTGATGGGCTCCAGTCTATGTGGTGATGCAGGCAGGCCTGGGCAAGTCTACCTGCCGTCTTGGGGGGGCGGGCTGCTCCCGGGGGCCAGCACCCACGTGGGCACTCCCTGCTCTCAGCACCTGCGCTGGGGGCCGGTGGAGATGCCAGGAGGTGCAGTGCCCGGGCACCTGCTCGGTGCTGGGCGGTGCCCACTTCTCCACGTTCGACGAGAGGCAGTACACGGTACACGGGGACTGCAGCTACGTGCTGGCCAAGGTACATGGCCCCAGGGTCCTCCCTGGACAGAGCGGCTTTCAGGTCGTGGGTCCACGTGTCCTTCCCCAGCCTGGGCTGCATGTGGGTGCCGCATTTGGGGCCACCTTGGGATCCCCGACGCCGAGTCCTCCAGGAAACCACCCGAGCTCTGGGCGGGCGGACGGATGGTGGGGAGGGGAGAGGATGAGGCGGGCTGGGGGCGCTGCGCTTTGCGTGAGTACCTGTGTTTCCAGCCCTGTGACAGCAGCGCCTTCACCGTGCTGGCCGAGCTGCGCAGGTGTGGACTGACCGACAGCGAGACCTGCCTGAAGAGCCTGACGCTGACCCTGGGCGGGGGGCACATGGTGCGTGCAGACCCTGGGGTTGGGGTGTCCTTCACGGCAAGCGACCTCTGCCCGAGCCCTTGACCCCACATGGGCAGCAGGTGGCCGAGGCATGGCCCGAGGACCCGCCCACTGCCTCCCTGCTTCCACCTCTTGTGGGTCTTTTGAGGGACGGTCCCCAAAGGGAACAGCTCAGGGGCTGGCAAGGGGCCTCCACACCTCCCCCACGAGGCCAGGAAGCTTCTCTGCTGAAGTCGACTTTTTTACTTTAGTAAATCTCTTTGGTTTTCACGTCGCCAAAAAGCGGTCCGGTCCTCGCGGAAAGCTTAGCGGAGCAGGCTGAGCCTGGGGGATGGGGGGCCAGGTCATCAGCCCTCCTCTGCCCTGGGGAGGCCATCGGGAGCCCTGTCATGTGCTTCTCCAGGTCTTTGTGGTAAAGGCCAGCGGGGCGGTGTTTGTGAACCAGATCTACACCCAGCTGCCCCTCTCGGCAGGTGAGGGCGCCTCCCTGCCCCGCCCCCTGACACCCCCGCCCCCTGACAGCCCCACCCCCTGACAGCCCCGCCCCTCGCGCCCACTGAGACCTGGTCCCCTGTGTCTGCAGCCAACGTCACGCTCTTCAGACCCTCCACCTTCTTCATCATCGCCCAGACCCAGCTGGGCCTGCAGCTGGACATCCAGCTGGTGCCCGTCATGCAGGTGTTCGTGAGGCTGGCGCCCCAGCTCCAGGGGCAGACCTGCGGTAAGAGGGTCACCACCCAGCACCCGAGCCCACCCTCCGCAGCCCAGCACACAGGGGCCTCACGCCACCCCCGCCCCCAGGCCTGTGCGGGAACTTCAACCAGAACCAGGCCGACGACTTCCGGACCATCAGCGGCGTGGTGGAGGGCACGGCCGCCGCCTTCGCCAACACCTGGAAGACCCAGGCCGCCTGCCCCAACGTCAAGAACAGCTTGGAGGACCCCTGCTCCCTCAGCGTGGAGAACGGTGTGTGTGTCCAGCAGCCCCGCGGGCCAACCTGGTGCCGGGGCCCCTGGGCCAGAGGTCTGAGCATGCGCTCCTTGGGGGCCCGGCCTGAAGGGGGCGTCAGGTGGTTGGTAAACAGGCGGACTCAACATGCGTTGTTCTGGCCGGTGAGCCCCGGGAGGAGAGGATCAGGGTGCTGGGGGGAGTGGAGGCCCACCCTCCTTGCCTGCTCTCCTGGGGGACCGGGCTCGCGGGGCGCTCGGGAAGCAGCCTAGGTCTGCTGACACCTGGCACTTCTTCACACGGAGCATGAGGGATTCCGGCTAAAAGGAAAGCTGCTCATCTCCATGTAGCTCCCGCCTGACGTGGCCGTCCAGCCTCGCTGACCGCCCCCCTCCTCTGTCCACAGAGAAATACGCTCAGCACTGGTGCTCGCGGCTGACAGACCCCCGCGGCCCCTTCACCCAGTGTCACGCTGCTGTGAGCCCCAGTGCCTACTACTCGGTAATGCCACCCACCTGCCTCTGCCCTTGGACCACTCGGCCACCCTCAGGGTCCCAGGGGCCATGGCAGCAGCGTCTGGGCCCAGCAGGTCTCTCAGTCTCCAGTTTCTCCCACCCCCATTCACTCACTCATTCACTCATTCACTCACTCACTCATTCATTCACTCACTCATTCATTCATCACTCATTCATACACTCACTCATCCACTCACTCATTCATTCATCATTCATCATTCACTCATTCATCACTCACTCATTCATCCACTCACTCATTCACTCATTCATTCATCATTCACTCATTCATTCGTCACTCACTCATTCATCCACTCACTCATCCACTCACTCATTCATTCATTCACTCATTCATCCACTCACTCATCCACTCACTCACTCACTCACCCACTGCTGTGGTTCTGAGTCAGTCCTCTCCTCCAGCTCCATGCTAGGCACAGGGGCTACACCCAGGGAGTGAGTAGCCTGCTGGCCCCAGGGTGCAAATGAGAAACTGGTGTCTAAGGCTGACACAGGGATGGACCGCTGGGTCACACAGATGAGGGGCTGTGGTCCTTCCAGCACCCCCGCCCGCCAGCCCAGGGGCGTGATGGCAAGATGCTCTGTGCACGTTAGTGGGACCCCCGTGAGGCTCGGGGAGGGGTCCTGGGGAGGCAGGGGCTCCGGCAGCAGCATGGGGGAAGCTCACCGTGTGTGGCCTGGTGTCCCTGACATCCTGATGCCCCCACAGAACTGCATGTTTGACACGTGCAACTGTGAGAAGAGTGAGGACTGCATGTGCGCGGCCCTGTCCTCCTACGTGCGGGCCTGCGCCGCCCGGGGCGTGCTGCTTGGCGGCTGGCGGGACGGCATGTGCAGTGAGTGTCCCAGGGTGGATGTCCCATGGCTCCCATCCCCCAACCAGGCTCAGAGGCCAAGGAGCGCCCAGGCCAGTGCCCCGGGACCCCATCAAGGACGAAGGGCTTGGCGGGAACAGGGAAGCCGGGGGGCCGGCCCTGTCCTGAGTGCTACCCCCTCCTGGCATCGTGCAGCAAAGGCCATGACCACCTGCCCCCAGTCGCTGACCTACCTCTACAACATCAGCACCTGCCAGCCTACCTGCCGGGCCCGGAGTGACGCGGACGTCACCTGCAGCATCAGCTTCGTCCCCGTGGACGGCTGCACCTGCCCTGACGGCACCTTCCTGGATGATACGGACCAGTGTGTGCCGGCCACCAGCTGCCCCTGCTACCATGGGGGCTCCGTGGTCCCCAATGGGGAGTCGACGCACGAGCAGGGGGTCGTCTGGTAAGAGCCCCTGCTGAGTGGGTGGCGTGGGCGAGGCTGGGGGGCTCTCTGACCACTCTCTCCTTGCAGCACCTGCACCCAGGGCACACTGACCTGCATTGGAGGCCATGCCCCAGCTCCAGGTGAGCCCGGAGTGGGGGAGGGGGCCCTCGGTTATCTCTGCATAAAGTTACCTAAGCTCGGGGTTAAATGCCCACAAGTCAGCGAGGCTGCTGGGTGTCAATCAGCGTCTCTGGGCTCAGCAGTGTGGGCACCCTGCCCACGCACTCACACGCTCACCCCGGGGCGGCTAAATTCTGCCGTCGGGAGACACGTCCCTCAAGTGAGCCTGGTAGGCGGCGTCAGGGTCCCCTGAATGGCCCCTCCCTCGCCAGTCTGTACCCCACCCATGGTCTACTTCGACTGCCACAATACCACGCCTGGGGCCGCTGGGGCTGGCTGTCAGAAGAGCTGCCACACCCTGGACATGGACTGTGTAAGTGTCCCCAGTGACCCCCCTCCAACAACCCCACACCTGCTCGGCCCCCATGGGCACCTGTGGAGAAGCCCACTCACTGGCCCCAGGGGACCCCTCCCCGCAGGCTGCTGGTCCTGTATCCCTGTGGCCCCGCTGCAGGCCCTGGGGGTCCACTAAGCTGTGTCTGCTCCCCCCCCATAGTACAGCTCCCAGTGTGTGCCTGGCTGTGTGTGTCCCCACGGGCTGGTGGCCACTGGCAACGGCGGCTGCATCCCCGTGTCCGACTGCCCTTGTGTGCACGACGAAGCCAGCTACGAGCCGGGCCAGGTCATCCGGGTGGGCTGCAACACCTGGTACGGGGAGGGGCTCGGACCCCACCTGGGGAGGGCTCCCTGCAGCGGGAGGTACAGCCCGGCCGGCAAGTCCTGCCCCCGCCCAGGCAGGCAGCTGGGCCTCCAGGAGGGAGGTTTGGGCCTGATGCCTGCTGCCCCTGCCCAGCACCTGTAAGAGCAGGATGTGGCAGTGCACAGACCAGCCCTGCCCGGCCACCTGCGCGGTGTACGGCGACGGCCACTACCGCACCTTCGATGGGCAGCGCTACAGCTTCAGCGGGGACTGCGAGTACACGCTGCTTCAGGTGTGTGGCTGCCGAGCCCTCCCGCCGCCCCGCACCCTGCTGTACTGCCCCGCGGTGCACGCTCAGTCCCATCCCGGCCTCCTTAGGACCACTGTGGGGGGGACGGCAGCGCCCAGGACGGCTTCCATGTCATCACCGAGAACGTCCCCTGTGGCACCACGGGGGCCACCTGCTCCAAGGCCATCAAGATCTTCCTGGGGGTGAGCAGTGGGTGGGGGCCTTGGTGGGGAGCCCCCAGGAAGGCCGCGCTCCCATGGCCGAGCTGGGACAGGGGCCGCAGGGCCATGGACCCATTCGACAGGTAGCCAGGGTCCTCACCCAGACACTCGCTGGTCCTGCTCCATGCAGAGCTACGAGCTGAAGCTGAGTGACGGGAACATGGAGGTGATCGAGAAGGAACAGGGGCAGCTGCCGCCCTTCTCCATTCGCCAGATGGGCAACTACCTGGTGGTAGACATGGATGTCAGCCTGGTGTTGCTGTGGGACAAGGGGACCAGCATCTTCCTCACACTCAGCCCCGAGTTCAAGGTGAGGCCCTGCCCAGGAAGGGCGACGCCCTCACCCCAGACCAAGGGCCGGCCGGAGACGGGGGTGCGGGTGGGGGAGAGACAGAGGAGATGATAGAAAAACAGAGAGACACAGAGAGTTATAGAGAGACAGAGAGACAGACAGAGAGACACAGAGAGATATAGAGAGACAGAGAGACAGACAGACAGAAACCGAGAGGCAGAGAGACAGAGAGGAGGTGACAGTAGGAGACCCTCAGCCGTGCCCGGGTCCTGCAGCTGCTGGAAGAAACGATCCCTAACTGGTGGCCCTTCTCTCGCAGTCTGGACACTAAGTCCAACCAGGTGCCCCAGCGCCACGTTCCCTCCAGAGGCTCAAGGGGAGAATCCTTCCCGCCTCCTCCAGCTTCCGTGGCCCCAGGCGCCCCGTCAGCCCAACCTCTGCATACGACGTCCCTTTACTGTCTTCACTCTGTGTGTGTCCCTCGTCCTGTAAGGACGCCGGCCACTGGATCAGCCACCCCAGTCCAGGATGCCCTCATCCTAACTGGATTGCATCCGCAGAGACCCTCCTTCTGCTTTGGGCCAACTCGTGGGTCCCGGGTCAGGACCTGAGCCTGTCTTTGGGGGACGCTCCGTAGCCACTAGGCTGCTTCTCCTGTGCCCTCCCCTCCTGGAGACTTCAGAGCCCAGTGGGGCTCTTCCTGAGGGCCCCGGGGTGGGGGGGAGCGAGTGAGGTCGCAGGGCCCCTCCTGCGCTTGCCCTGAGCCTGCGCCGTCTCTACGTCTGTCCGTCCACAGGGGAGGGTCTGCGGGCTGTGCGGGAACTTTGACGACAACGCCCTCAACGACTTCACCACGCGGAGCCAGTCCGTGGTGGGCGACGTGCTGGAGTTCGGCAACAGCTGGAAATTCTCCCCGTCCTGCCCGGACGCCCAGGCCCCCAAGGACCCCTGCACCGCCAACCCGTACCGCAAGTCCTGGGCCCAGAAGCAGTGCAGCATCATCAACAGCGCCACCTTCAGCGCCTGCCACGCCCACGTACGCGGGGCGCTCCTCCAGGCACCTGGGGAAGAAGGGACAGAAATGGGAGCAGTGGCTCTTTGCCGCCCTCTAGGGCCAGCTGTGGCCATGAGGACCCGTCTGGCTGGCCTCGTGGGACAACGAGCTCCAGGGGAAACCGGCCCAGGCCGACACCAGCTGCACTGATTCCCTGGAGCCCACAGGGATGGCGGGTCCCTTGGCATCTGAAGCCCCTCTCTCCCGTAGGTGGAATCGGCCAGGTACTACGAGGCCTGCGTGAGCGACGCATGCGCCTGCGACTCAGGGGGCGACTGCGAGTGTTTCTGCACGGCTGTGGCCGCCTACGCCCAGGCCTGCCACGAAGCGGGTGTGTGCGTGTCCTGGCGGACCCCGGACATCTGCCGTGAGTGCCCACGGATGTGTCCGCCGGGGTGGGGCGGAGACACAGAGAGTGACAAGAGTGGTATTGAATGTGCGAGGGGAGGAAGGGCTTGAAGGGAATCAGCAGAGCACCCCCCCTCCATGGAGCCTGGCCGCAGTGGGTGGGCGTCCCTGACAAGCCAGCCAGCCCCCCTCCCCACTGCCCCCCCTTGCCCCTGGGCATCCCAGGCCCATGTCCTCTGAAGCCGCGTCCGGGAGGCACAGAGGAGGGACGCGTCTTCAGAACAGCTCGCAGGACTTGGTCAAGGACCGGGCTACGGGGGAGCCCCCGGGGCTGTCCTTGCAAGGGCGGCACTCCACCTGGGGCCCCCTGGGCCGAGCGCCTGGCCCTGAGTCCGCCCCCGTTGTCCGCAGCCCTCTTCTGCGACTACTACAACCCCAAGGGCCACTGCGAGTGGCACTACCAGCCCTGCGGGGCCCCCTACCTGAGGACCTGCCGGAACCCCCGCGGCCAGTACCTGCACGACGTCCGTGGCCTGGAAGGTGCGCTGCTGCCCTGCTGGTCTGGGCGGGGCCGTGCTGGGGAGACGGTGGTTGGGGCCAAGGTTTGTCCTGGGGATCCAGGCTGGGCGGCTCCTGACCCCTCGGGGTGCTTTTGTGGCCATAGCCTCAAGCTCCCCATGGTGTGGTGGGGTCCAGGGCTGGGGGCTGAGTCGAGGCGGGGCTGAGGCACTGGGCAGTTGGTGTGGCTGGGACTCAGGCCTCTCTGGTCCCCAGGCTGCTACCCCAAGTGCCCATCAGAGGCCCCCATCTTCGATGAGGACCAGATGCGATGTGTAGCTTCATGCCCAACCCCGACCCCACCACTGCCCTGCCGCGTCCAGGGCAAGTCCTACCGGCCGGGCTCTGTGGTGCCCTCGGAAAAGAACTGCCACCACTGGTGAGGCGCTTGGCGGGAGCCGCGAGGACCCTGGAGCACGTGGGGGATTCGCCCAGCCTCCGCTACTGGGGAAAGGCCCCACCTGGCCACCCCCCAGCAGAGCCTCCCTCCTTCAGGGCCAGAGGGTGCCCCAGCCTGGGTTTTCTGTGGGGTCCAACAGGGAGCTTCCTTTATGCAGGATGAGGGTGGGGGGTCTGGGGGTGAAGAAAGGGGCCAGAGGGGAAGCTGAGTCATGACACGGCCCAAGGACCTCTGGGAAGACACCCTGGAGAGGGAGTGGCCTTCAGAAGGTTCAGGGGGCTCAGTGGCCATGCTCAAGCTGCCTTCTCTGGTCATTGATAGGAAGGGCTCCCTGAGAGGGCGTGACCTCTGGGGCTGAGGCGTGGCCCCCAGGGACCCCAGTGGGGCTTCCCCTGCCTGCCTGCCCCTGGGTGAGTCTCCACCCCCAGACTCATCTCCCTTCTGTCGCCAGCGTTTGCACCGAGAGCGGCGTGCAGTGCACCTACCACTCTGAGGGTGAGTGGTGGGCGGCCCTCCTTGCGCCCGGGGTCTCGGGTCCCCACCTGCGCCCCGGCCCCCTAACCGCCTGGCTGCTGTCCTCCCCACAGCCTGTGTCTGCACCTACGACGGGAGGCGCTTCCGTCCCAGGGAAGTCATCTACCACACGACAGACGGCACGGGGGGCTGCATCTTCGCCCACTGTGGGGCTAACGGCACCATCGAGAGGAGGGTCGAAGACTGCAACACTACCACCCCCACCCCCCAAACCACCTTCGCCTTCTCTACACCGATCAGTAAGGCAGACAGGCGGGGTGCCGACCGGGTGGTGCCGTCCCCCCACCCCTGGCCCCGAGCGGCAGGAAGGAGCCGGGACGGGACAGAGGGCATGTCCCTGTGCCGGTCAGCCCGCAGCCACCGCGAAGCTGGCAGGACCCGTGTCCCCAGTCATGCTCTCAGGGCTGCGGCACCCAGCATGGGGCAGGGGCTGTGAGCAAAGGTACCCAAGGTTAGCTCCTGGGGAGAGGACCACGGGAAGCCGGCTGGGGAGTCCCTGCCTGGATCCACTGCTCTCCGATCGCCTTGCGTCGCACCAGGGCCAGGCACCTCCGCGTCCTAACCTCTTCTAAGGGTGACTTAGGGCCTTATTAGAGCTTCCCCCGAGGGTGAAGAGCCCCTGTAGCTCTGGCTTTAGATTCCGGGGCGCTTAATTCACCCCTTGACTCAGCTGCAGTGAGCTTTACCCCTGCCAGGTTTGGGCATATCCCGGACGCTTGGCGACTGCCCTGTCTCCCAAGTTCCCGTCATGGGTGGAGACAGACAGGCAGCTGGCACTGACAGAGGGGGCGGGGGGGCTGTCCTCAAGGAGTGTGGGGAGCCCTGGCCCCTGACGCTCGCCCTTTCTCTCCTGCCCTCAGTCGTGAGCTCGACGCTTCCACCCAGCACACACCCCAGCCCGTCCGAAAAGACAGCACATGCTCCGAGCTCGGCCCCGGCCACCACCCCGGGCACATCCCCTGGACCAACCCCTCCCACAGCCTCCGCCCCGCCCTCGTCCCGGCCCCGCTGTGGGGAGGAATGCCAGTGGTCGCCATGGCTGGATGTCAGCCGTCCGGGATGGGGCATAGACAGCGGTGACTTTGACACGCTGGAGAACCTCCGTGCCTATGGGTACCGGGTTTGCCGAGCACCGAGGGCAGTGGAGTGCCGAGCCGAGAACCACCCAGACGTCGGCATCCAGACGCTGGGCCAGGTGGTGCAGTGCAGCCCAGAAGTGGGCTTGGTGTGTCGGAACCGGGACCAGAAGGGCAAGTTCAGGATGTGCCTCAACTACGAGGTGCGCATGCTGTGCTGTGAGCCCCAGAAAGGCTGCCCTGTCACACGTGTCACAGTTCCCAGCACCTCAAGTGTGAGTGTCACCAGCCAGACAGGGACCACCTTCCATGAGGCCACATCCAGTGCAACCACGGTGCAGACAACCAGTTCAACCGCAGTGCCTATAAGCAGCACCACCACTGTGGAGACAACCGGCCCAACCACAGCTCCTACAACCAGCACCA